GAGAGAGAGAGAGAAATCCATTCACTATGGAAAATATATTTAACTGCCAAACACAGAATAAGGGAACAGGAGAACACAATACAGCGTGCCGTTTGTACCGACAATGTTGGCTTTGCATACGTCCACGCCCCAAATTTGACATTCAGCCATCTCGCAAAGTTCGAGTCGGGAATAATGCTGTCGCGCGAACTTTAAACGGAAATAAACGCTATGCCGTGACATGCACCAGCGTCACTTATTCATCGTTTCCGGGTAACTTTACCGTCCCGGCGTACAACTTGAGATCGTCACAAGATATTTCCTGACATATTGCACGTCGTAACACGGTACAATCTTACAACTGTATTAGACTCGTTTAAATATTATTTGTCTCTTTTTTATTTATTTTCGTGATTCTACAATCATTATATTATATACTTCTTATCGCGTATTCATTAAAAAGTACTATATGCCGATCAAGAACATAGAAACAAAATTTTTGATATCGAAGAATTTAGAAAGAAGATAAAGCCTTCCCGACGAAAAAATAAACTTAGTATTAATTATTATAAAATATTAATTTTTAATAAATATACGTTTAACTTAGTAATTTATACACGCATAATATACACGCATACACAAAAAGATTGAATCGTTCACGTAGAACATGAAACAGAATTCAGCGAAAGCTAATTACCGAGTTAAACTTCCTTGTCCTTTCATGAAATAATTTTATGGAAATTACAGACGAATTACATAAAAGCCTATTACATCGCAGCAATACAATATATATCCCTACTATATACTACTAGCCCTTCCCCCGCTCTTTTGGAGAATTTACCTGCAAGTTTCCGAGCGATTACCGGTACGAGGGTGCTTATGTACGGTAACAAGAACTCGCGCGCCCGTTATGCGATAAGCAAGTCCTTCGAAGGAGGCGGGAGGGGGGGAGGGGGGAGGGGGGGGGGACGATCTTTGTCCGCTGGTTCTTTCACGACGTCTTTCAAATCATAAGAAAAGCGCACGCGCCTAGCTTCGAGCTTTCAAGCTAAATTAAATGGAAAATCGAGAATTTCGTTCTGCATTTCTTCGGGCCTGCTTGGCCGAACGAATAAAAAATTCGTCGTATTTATTCAGAAATGATAAACCTATTGAATAAGATCAATCTAAAGCCGAAGTTCTCCCCAAGGAGAATACACATGAATTCTGAAATTATTTGAAAAAAAAAAAAAAACAGCCTGTTAAACTATTACAAACTATTAAGTTTAAATACTTAAATAATTAACAGTTAATATCCTAATATAAATCTTTTTTATTTTATGTTGTTTATTAAAAGTTTTCTTAATTATTAATTATAATATTTCTTTTTATTCAAATTTTATTAGATTAACTAAAACTGTATTATTAACAATAAAAATTTTATTATTGATTAAAATTATTAGTCTAAATTTGTAATAAATTTTTTGTCTTTTAACTGGCTAAAAAAAATTTGCATGAAACTATACATTCAGTCATATCAAAATTGGAGAATTCGTCATTGTTTTGTACAATTATCGTTACACCTCGTTACCTTTCATGCCGCGACTAATAAATATATATGCATAATGTGCAACAACAACTATAGACAACTTGTGTACAACGGGACATTTTTTTTCTTTTCGTACAATACGAATTATAAAATATATATTCAATTTAAGAAAACTATACTAGAAATAATCAATGTTTACTCTTCAACATAAATATTTAACTGTTGAAAAATTATAATAAGCACTAACTTGTTATATATAAATAAATAAATACATGTTCTGCAATTTTAATTGTATTTTAAAGTTATTTATATCAAATAAACGAATCTGTGTAAAATTTAAATAAATACGAAAATACGCATCGAAGGGCATCAAAACAGCAATTTTAAATGCACATGATATTCCCCCTTTTACAATCGCGTAAAATGTACGAATTACATTTTACAGCATTGGGAAAATTTCGTTTTGCGACCCAGTTGCAATTGTATAGTTTGGCCGCGGAATTGATCGCGTGGACCAGCAACACATATGTGCTATACATATGTATATCGAAGCGCAGGTAGGCGCTCGCGTGGGAAAACTTGTGTGTCGTTTCCGTACATACGATCCTCCTTCGTCGTAAACCCGTCGTAAAACGATCTAATTGATGCGAGAGACATCGCGGGTAGGTGACGGATTGTAATTCTTTTTCCCTCCTTTCGTGTTGCAGGAGCGATGTCTTCCTGGAACCGTACCTGCAGCAGCACGGCACCGTTCAGGTGGTCAGCTCGCCGAGCACCCCGCCGCCGAATCCGCTGCAGCACCATCAACTTACGCAGCTACATCATGTACAGGTGAGTTAAAAGTAAAATGGAAGGACTAAAAAAAAATAATGCAAACAGTCCATCTAAATATTGTAATATCTAGATAAGTTATTTTTGCATTTTCAATTGCACGCTAAAATACATACGTTAGTTTTATATATTGACTGTTAATATATATATATATATATATATATCGAGCGTCGGATATTTATATTATTCTTTGAAATGTAAAAAAACTGACATCTATACAAAAAATATTTATTGTCAAATTTAATCAAATTGATGAAATTATTTTATTTGAATTATTGATTTTAGGAAAAGAAAAAAATTATCAAATATTTTTGAACGGATTCTTTGATAGGAGTCTTGTAATAAAATTACAAAAGTTGATTTTTTTTTTAAATATATGAATTTTTATGATAAATATAGACATTATTGATGAAATAATCGTATATTCATTTATATGAACTTATATATTTATTTCCATGAAATATGTTGAAATTACAAAAATATTAAATCTCGAATTTTTTTTGCACTTATCTGCATTTTATTTTTCCGCAAAAATAAAGAGGAAGGGAGAGAGAGAAGGGAAAGGGGGGAGAATATTGTTATATTACTAGGAAATATTTGTTCAACAAATATATATGTATATGAAATTTATATTTATGTAACGACAAACGTAACTTTGCGATTTGCATTTATTAATTATTATTCACGAATCACATTGAAAATAGATTGTCCGACTAATTATAAAATTTGCATGCATACAATAAATGTTGCACGGTAACATGACTAACAATATATTGTGTTTAATTAAATGTGTTATAACGTGCAATTTAAATCCGCGACCAGAGTACATATTAAATTTCATGATGTTGCCCGCTTCACGAAGAGATTTCTATTTTCGCAATAATACAGCGTTCGTATAAACAAATACACTATAAAATAATAACTCATAAAAGGTTCGTAGTAAAGCATAAATTGCAACTGTATATTTACTACATAAATAAAACAAATCAATTCAATTTCAATGTCCAATATATATTAATGTTATTATTTCATTATTATTTTTCTCGATTTTGTGCTCCTTTCGTTTCATGCAAGTGAATTATAACAATAATAAAAAAATTTATAAAAATTACAAATATAGGTCCGTTTATTTTATCTTTGGTGAGATGTAACATGGCGATTCAGTCCATGATTTCATAGTTGTATTTTGGATGAATTGAATCGTCAGACGAATTGTCAGAAAACAGTGCGGCGTCTCATCACGAATGACTTTTTCTGACAAGCAATTAAGGGATTTGCAATTAGCTCTTTCTCCCTCCCCCTCTCTCCCTTTTCTTTCTTCTCTTTCTCGAAGAGAGAGTATTCAACACGCGACGCACGTCTGCATTTAATCCCGTTAGCTCGAAACCGTGTGTCAGTCTGCATTTCAAATTAAATTACACTCGAACCCCTTCGCGCTGGTGCCCCGCTCCCCTTTCCTTTTCCCTGCCCATTCGTTCCGCTTTGCCCATCATCGATTTTCCCTTTCATCTCCATTGATTCGGGGATACGTTAAAAAGAGAGTTACGTCACATCGGACGTAAAGAACGAATCGTTCGATCAGTATCGATCAAATCTTCCAAAATGGAAGGAAAAAGAGAAACGGAGTAAATCGATAGAGAGCATTCATACTTCGTACACCTAATCTTCATCACAATGCGCTTTGCTTCTCATTGTGGAGAGGGGGGGGGGTGGGAGGGGGATTTAAAAACGATCGATTACCGTTTTCTATGGCAGCACGATTCCATATCTCTAAAAGAGCGTTAGGAGGAGAGGGAAGTGAGAACGATAAATAAATTGCGACCGGAAACGTCGGCTGCGAATGGAGATAACTGGACCGGCCGGGGTATAATGTGGAATTGGGGGCGCATTGTACGACAGAGCTGGCGGGATTTACGCCTTAAGACCCAAAAGAGATGGAGATTTCCGTGCTCATAGCGAAACAAATCGCTGACAATTTGCGATTGCGAACACCGAGAAATAATCGCAAGAGCGTGCATATAGTGAAAATAAACTGTCGCGACTACTTCAATGATTCAGACTTCTATATAAACTAATATCTTTGCAACTTATTTAAATATATTTAGAAAATTTTTAATAATAAAATAAAATCTTTTTGTAATTCATAAGTTAAGTAATTAATCGAATATTATAATAAATTCATATAAAATAAATTATTATAACAAATACTTAAAGAATATTTTGAAAAGAAACTATATAAGCGTATGTGTATAAAAAATTGTTTATTATTAGCCTTTATTATTATTTTTACACCTTTATTATTATTATTTTATTATTATTATTATTGTTATTATTTTAATATTTATTTTTTTTAACATATATAAGACTATTATTAAGATCTGATAACTTTATCCATGTTATATCCATATTTAAATGTGATACTTTGTTTTTAGAGCGAAGAATCGCTTTCATCAGAAGAATCGGCTACTTCGGGAGGATCTTCAAGATCCACTGAAGATTCTGGCAGCGAAGTGGCTTGCGATATTACTCTAATCGAAAGACTCATACGCTCTCACCCGATCTGGTTCTTACCGGGTATTCAGAGAGCCGGGGCCTTTCACTTGTTGCAGGGCAAAGAAGAGGGGGTAAGTGTACATTTAGACCTTACAGATTTCCTTATTCTTTATATATCAGAATTTAAAAAATTCTTATTCTTTTAGCATTTTGTTTCCAATTTTACGGGAACACAGAACAAAGTATTTTCCTAATCATGAACACAATAACATTCTTATTGTATGCATATGTCTTCATGTATCTATTATCGATTAAAAAAATAGAATTGAAAAAATTAAGTAAGGAAAAATACTGAAACTATAGAAATTATAAATATATTAAAGGTACAAAGATATTGAGAAGAGAGAGATTTAAATATGGATTAAACAAAGATTAAAAATTTAAAAATCTGTTTATTACACTACATCATTAGATGAATGTAATGTGAGGCAGATACAATTTTTGGAGGGAAAAAAATTGCAATTTATTTCTATATTTAGATATAAATATAATAAATACAAACCTGTCTTTAAAACATAATCATAAAATAGATGTTTTTTAAACTTAGCATTTCTAATTTAGAGATATCCAATATTTTTTCTTATAAGAAAACATTTACTTTGTCCAGTTTCATTATCTTACCTTACTTATTTCTCGTTTCCATTCTCCTTGTGCCGAATATTATTTTCTGAATGGAAGGTCATTTTCGCTCAGCACCGTTTTCTGTTATCAACGTATACATCTACATCTGCATGCCTCGGAACAATGAGCGTGAGTGTGCTCGTATCTAACACATCGAACGACTTGTGCTAATGTGAAGAATAATAGTACTTCCAGGCACACGGGAAACCGTGTCAATGTCTGACGGCATGCAGTCGGACACGCAATTACATTGAGAAAATTCTTTACACATCCGGTGTCTTATAAATATCCAAACTAAATTTGATGAAGCATAGAACTCGCCATTTTCGAACGCCATTTTAGGAAATGTTTTTCCTAAAAATTATTAATTATTAATTTTTATCAATATTTTACTAAAAAATATTAATAAAAAGATCTATATACTGTACCGTATATCAATATAGTTTTTTTCTTTTTAGCAAAACAGAAAAAACTTTTTATTACTATTTATTTGAATAAATTTGCAGTTATTAAAGATTGAGCAAGAAATAAGTGTAATTACATGAATATTGCGAAACGAATATTGTTTCTCAGCAAAATTAACGAAAGAATCGATTAAGATGTAGCGGTAAAATGTCCGTCGTCTTATTCTACTTTTACTTTTTTTTTTTTCCCTCATTTTGTAACGTTGTGTAATAGCGCGCGAAGCTCTGCGCTGTAATCAGCGCGGAAATGACTGCGACGAGGCACAACTCTTTTGCCATTGTTTCTCGCGACGGCTCATTGTTTTGCGCCTTTGTTAATTGTCCTTCGTCAAATTCCCATCCCTTCGGGGTCCTTTCGCGGCCTCATGGTCGCTTCGAACGAATTGCGCTGTCAAAAAACAATACGCCTTGAAATTATTATCCATAGATGAGACAGATCTCCCTTCACTCTTCCACATTGAAACATAGGAAATGTAATAACAATTGCAGCGCAACGCTTTTGTCACTTAATTGATTATTAATAATTTTTCTGATCTTTTGTTTTGTGAATTTTTCAAATTTTTATATAAATTTTTTAAATCGAAAAATATAAATTGATTATATATATATATAAAACAAATATTTTTAATCTAATTTCAATTTTTTCTAGCAACAATTTCTTTATGGAATTCTGTTGAAATCTAAATTGTCATTTTATTCTTTTTCTCGAAAAAAAAAATATTACAAAATAGAATGCTTCTAAATTTTTTAAATAAAAAGCCAAAATTAATCTAATTATTTGAAAAGAACAATCTCTATGATTAATATAAAAGTAATAATTATTTACTTTCCCTCTTATTAATTATTGTTTTAGATTTAGAGTTATTCACATTACATTAGAATGTTACTAATGTTATATCCTCTATATTAGCTATATAAATATAAATTATAGTTTATTAAATATACCTATATCTTTTATTACAGAATTTCGTAGTACGACAATCGAGCCAAAGCGATACAATGGCTCTTTCAGTGAGATTACCTGCCGGGAAGGGACCTTACATTGAGCACTACCTGATTCAGGCCAACAAGGGCAAGTTGAGCTTGGAAACGAGCGAGAACAGGTTCGACAATATCCCCTCACTGATTGCCCACTACTCACAGTGCTGGTAAGTCCTTCTTTTCTCTTTCTTTATTTATATATGGATTTTTATTTCAGAAATGGCACTGAAGATATCATCTCTTTCATCCTTATCTTTTAATCTTCCACAAACAAATATCACAAATGATCTGAAGTGATCTTGACACCGCATTATTTTTTTTTCTCGTCATTTTTTATACGACGAAGCTTCCTGTAAATAGGTCAGATAAAATAATAATCATCATAATAATGCAAATAATGATAATAAAAGAATGAAAACATATAAAAATATAAAAAAATATATACATTACAGTATACATAAAAGGAAAAATTACATATTAATTAAAAATATAACATGATCTTTTAAGAATTTGAATAAATAAATTTTAGAAATTTTAATGTTTTTTTAATGATATATCTTTTTTAATAAACTTTTTTATATAAATTTATTTCTTTCATTTATCTTAGTTTGCAACAATGTATAAAGATAAAGTAGTTATCGAAAAACGAATAGTTTCCAAATTGCTTCGTATTTTGATATGAAAAATATAAAATATTAATATTTATCTCTCAATCTTATTCTATCTAATAATTTAAGTGAATTTATTTATTTTTATTTGGCAAGCAGTGACGAACTGCCAGTACAATTGACTTTACCGAGAGCGATGAGGGAGGCGAAAAATAGGCAACAATTATCCTCTCTGGCGTTGCTGGGTCAGGAGTTCTGGCGGTATCCCATGGCAAATCCAAAGCCACCGGAAAGCAGCAGCAGTAATACCTCTAGTCTAAGCAGTTTTCATGGGGGTGAGTTTTATTCGTAAATAACTTTGAAATTAATTAGTTACAAATAAATTCAACAAAAAAAAATTCAAAAATAAATTTGACCGAAATAACCTTCTAATAATATATTTTTAATAAATCTTTAACATATAAAAAGATTTACAAATTAAATATTTGTTACATAATTTTATTGATTAGTTAAATTCGCTAAAAATATTATATACAGTATATAGTATATTTAAAACTAAATAACTTATAAAGTTAAGTTAAAAAAAAAAATTATAAAATATACTTATTATATAATTTTTTCCAGGTAACAATAATCACAATAATAACAATAATAATAATAATAATGTGGATACACCGACTACGGAGAGTATAGTCCTTAATCTGGCTCCAATATCATCTCACAATACACGTAAGATACTAACATTTTTTTAATATTTATATTTGTAGTTATTATAATTATTAAAAATTAGAGCAAAGAATACCAATAAATTCTTCTAAAAATAATTTGTTAATATATGAAAATAATTTGTTATTTAAATTTATTTTTATCTGTAGATACCTCCTCTCCGACGAATACTGTTAACGCGAACATCTCAACATTTGCATCATCGTTGCCGCGTCAGCCGCGTCCAACTCCACCAAATACTCTCAATCTGACAACCTTCAACGAACCATTGAATGATACCAAAAGGGATCGGGTCTCATCACCAAGTGACAAACTTTCTCATAAATTAATCTCACCAAATCTCGTGCAAAGCGTGCGATGTCCATCGCCGGTGGTCCACAATGTGGAGAACAATGTTCTGAGTCCTGTTCAGGATGTGAGGAGTTTCGACACTTTAAAAAACGGTCTGGACACGCCAAAGTTGACAATGATCGAATTTACCAAGAGTTCAGGGAAGTTCACATCTATCTCGAGTTTCCATCAAAACAATCTGTCGTGCACTACATCGCCAGAACTGTCGGATAGTAAGAACGTCATCACTGAGAGTCAAAGCACTAGGCAAAATGTAAAGACGCCACCACCGCCGCCTCCAAGATGGGCCAAGCCTGGGATCAATCAAAATCAGAATAACTTTACCGTGACTACAACGGTGACATTCAATGTGAATCAGGGCAACAGTTTGAACATTTCGCAGGTAAAATTAAGAAAATGTTTCTTTTTCAAAATCTTACAATAAAAAGTAACTTTTAACAATTTTTATATTTTACATGCGTAATAATTATAAGTTATAATTAATTATAATACAATAAATTTTCTTATAATATTGTTTATTATTTTATTTCCAAATTAATTTAAAATTTTTAATGCATATAATTTTCTCATGTCACTAATTTTACATACATATATTCGAATTATTTTATATTTATTTTTATTACCTTGCATCATAGTAATTATTATTATGTAAAACAATGTATTAATAGCTAAAGAATTATAAATTTTTTTTACTGTTTATTGAAATAATAATAACGGTTTTTTTTCTGTTTATCAACAGCAAAACACACCGTCAGATCCCAATACGTCATTGCTGAGTCCTCAATCTAACAAATCTCTCAATTCCAACTTTTCCATCAAATCACCCCTGTCGCCTACCACTCCAGTCTTATCTCCCATCTCGAAACTAATTCCAAAAACACCCAACGTGCTCTCTCCAAATACTCCTTCTAGCACCAGTAAATCGAAAAGGCGACGTGATCGCGAAAACCGAAAGAACTCTCAACACTATCAGGAATCGGATATCTTGGACTCGTATTATCGCAGCTCGCCAGCCGATAAGATTTCCGATTATGAAGACATCTGGAACACGACTGACCAATCGACACAGTCGACCTGGAACGACCGATTGAAAGATAATAGAATCGCTTATACTCCGCAGGACTGTATGAGAAATTCGAATGACCGTTTAATGAGTCTCAGAGAATCCGAAAAGAACCTTAATGAAAGATTACCAACAGGAGACCAGATGGTTCTAAAGAGTGACAAGTTTATCTTAAAGAATGATAAAATGGGGTACAAAGAAATGATGAGTCCGGAATTCAGTAGTTTTAAACCTATTCCGGAAATGAAAAGTTCTGACCAAAGTTCGCCAGAGGAGACTGGTATGGGGAAAAGGCCCGATCTGCTATCTAGAGTTTGTATGTATTTCTATTATTACACAAAAGATTGTTATGTAAAAGAGAAACTTGATATTAAAATTCACATTTAAAAAAGATTGATCGTATAAAAATAAAAAGTTTATATTAATATAATTAAAAAGATTATTAAGAGAATTAAGAATTATTATATTTATTTATTTATGTTCTTTTTATTTATTTTTGAGTTTTAATTATTAAATCTTTTAAAATTAAAAATCTTATTCAAGATTTTTACAGACTTTTTAAAATTAAGAACCTTTGCTTTTGCAGGCAGCGCCAACTCGTTGAACAGCCCCAGCACGGTGACACCTCCGAGAAACAAATTGGGCTTAGTTTTAGCAAAATCAGAGAACAATAGTCCTCAGACTCCCGAATCGAAACGAGCAGTCCGTTCTATGCGGAACCAGCCGATGCGATTG